GTCGGTATCATGGTGTTTTTTTTAGAGATGTCGAACGTGCGATTAAAATTATTTCACACGGATCGACCGAGAACGCGAAAGTATGGAAGAAAGTGAAAACGAGACGATCTCTAATCGTATTAAAGTAAATAGATAAATAGATTTCTCAGCGGATTGAGGTAGAAATCTCTTCCACAATTTCTTATCGTAATACGGTCGAAACCGTTATTTTGCTTTCTTCACGTCAGTGAACGCGTTCTTAACGGAACGATACTAAAATGCTCGATCGCGATGCACTCGCTTAGCCGGCGAATAGACGAGACTTATCCTAAAATGCGCATTATCGATATTTCCTTATCCGCAAATCGGGTTATGACGATTACCCAACTGACATAGAGTCTTAATAAGGCTGACAGCGGGATGGCAGGAGAATGTGATTCACTACTGACTCACTGTGATACACGCGAGTCAGTGCAAAGTGCCAAGTGTACTTTGTCAAGTATTAAAATCGACAACGCTGTACGTGCTGTCAGTCGCGTGTCGCAATGTTGATCAATTAAATTACTGTGGGAAAACAGCATCACATTTCTGAGCGCTCCAAATTACACGCGTGTGACTAATTTGATTTATTTTGCACTTGTAAAATTTATTCAACCGAAAAAAGCTTTCGAGAAAGATTAGATTAATCGCAAGCGACCTATATATTTATTTTAAATATAAATTTCGATTACTTGAAAAAAAAAGGACACTGATCGCGTTGATTTGTTGAAATTAGCATTCGCAAATAAATATAACTTTTATTATACTAATTTCAAATAAGCAACGAAGGAATAATTTCTTCCGAGAAGTAAAATATATCGCTGTAATAAAGACAAGATATTTGTCTTATTATTTCGCTGTAATTTTTAACAGTTCAAACATTTGCCTCAAATTAAAACAAAACATACTGCAATATTTCTAAGAGACTATTGATTTTCGAATGAGGCAGGTTGCACATTAGTTTAGCGGAAAACGATAACACACGTAATTTGAGCGCCACGCGAACGACTACACGAGAGCTACCTTCCCCGGGGAGCTAATGCACGCGGCCGATGATGTACTCGACAATCATAATTTACTGTACGGCCCGCAGCATGGATAATGGGTAACATACGTCCGTTTCTTGCGGCTAACAAAACGAAGGACGGCGCTTCCGTTCTCCATTGCCGACCCGCGCACCGCAGTCCGCGCTCTTCGACATCTCTCTTCGCGCGCTTCAGCTTCTACAAAGCGGGTATTCTTCGTCCGCGCTATTCCTCGTAAAATTACCGATGCAATACCCGCGGAATAAGCACGGCGGGCGGGGAAGACGAGAAAGAGGAGGAACGCTGATCGGAAAGGAAATAACGATCGCCGAATCTCCGCCTCTTTGTCGTTAAGCCTTCCCCGAGCGCACTGTCGCCTGTTTAACCCTTAACGGTGAAGCTTTTTTCGCGCAAAATTGCATTTCTCGCAACCGATCGAATTATTCGTCCGTTCTTGTTTCTCTTCTTGTCGCGGATACGCAATTGAATTACGTCGACCCGCTTCTGCGTCATAGCTTATTGCTTTGCAAGCGAAAAAATCAGCAGCGAATTGCAACTGTCGTCCTTTTCTTATCTCCTCCAATGTTCGTGACTAATACTGATAAATTTTTTTTGCAATTCTATAATCCTCGCAAACAATCGGCCGGTGTACATGTTGCGTGTCTCCAATCCACAGCGATAAGTGTGGTTTAAAAAAAGATCAGCTTAATATTGAAATCGTCGTGTTTACTCTTTCTAATCGCTTAAAATGTCTAACAACACGTCCGGTGCCATGCGTCACATACATGCGACGTTCCGATTTTCATGAGAGATTCACGTGACACAAGCGTGACAACGATAATTTCCCTGAAATTAATTTTTCTCTACATAAATATACCGAAATCGACTGCTAAAATTGCTTAAAAATTGTGATTTATAGCGAGTAATCTTCAAACGTTGGAGTGATGACGCAAAAAAAATCAGAAATTTCTCGGCTGATCGAACGGTGTGCATTATTAATATTATTTCCGAGCATAAATGCGCGTCGAAAGAAAAACTCGATCGAAAATTACAAGTGCTACTGTCTCCGAGAAGTAGAGTCGAGGTTAAAGTTATACATAACTTCAATCAGAGCGAATAATAACCGCACCTTTCCGGGAAGCCGGAAATGAATTAAACATCATAAATAAGTATGTCGTAGTTTCGCCGAGTTACATCGTGTCCACATTGTCGCGATGGACGCGCTATACCAGGCATGAATCTTTTAAAAGATGCATCAACCGTCGCGAAACTCGTCTGATTACGCCACGTGGCGATATTGTTTGTACTTTAAACCACGTTCGAAAATGAGAAATAACGAGAGCAGCATCGATTATGATAAGTAAAATGGAATACGATGCACTTCCGCGGTTAACTATGACATCAACCGATTATCTATTCTTTTATCGTACAATCTATACCGCAAATACGAACGATTTCTTTTCACTCTTCCCGACAAAAGTCACCAACCTTTTGTGCACGATAAAATGTCGATAAAATTATGAGTCAACTAAATTTAACTACGTTAAAATAATCTGACATTTTACTTATCAGCAGAATTATGTCTGTTAATGTTTATATTAAAACTGTAAACTAACGTATCACTTTGACATAATTCCCAATAATTTTTGACCGACAGTGGAGATGCTGTTTGTATTGTTGGAATTCTCAGATTTGCTTGCTCTCCTTGAATCGCTGCGCGTTTATTCATTCTCTTCCTTATTCTCTCCCCGAGGAAATATCCATGAGAAGCTTCAATGCATTCGGTATGTACTGCAAATCTGCGCATACTCCTCGAGGAGCGATATTGTTCGTCTCACTCAATTTAACTCGCTCTCATTCATATTTCTTTCCGCGATTCTCAATATTCCGATTCCTTATTCAACTATGCGACGCAGTCTGCATTTATGGTTTCCACACGGAGAATATGTTTTTTATTGTTTTTCTCTTCTTTTTTTTTTTTTAAACCTCTCGAAAATTCAAAGGCGTTGTAATAAAAGATCGGCTACTGCAAGCTAATCAAACTACTGTATCGTCCGAAATTGGTTGGCATTAGATTACAAGCGTGAACACGAGCTTATCACTGACCAAGCAAAACATTCTGAAGAGTATGTCAGCAGCGGAACATGTTGTCTTATCGCAAATATGAAACGTGTGACTTCCTTATTTACAATATAACATCGGCGTACTTGATTGATAAATGCTATCGCGATATTGACGAGGAATTATACAGATAGACTTTCGATGTCTATCGGGGAAATACGCTGGAGTATTAGACTACCTGGCACGTGAAGTATCGATACTTTAATAGCGTCGTAACACCGTCGACATCCTCAGATACGAAAGATTGAAAGCGGTTTGCCAGTCGGTGGACGAGCGTGCACGGTGGGAAAGGGGGGGAGGGGAAAACTTCGGCAGATAAAGCAGCCGAGTGGAGTAGCCGGCCTCGGGGTGGAAGCGGGGAGCGGGGCAAGATAGACGGACGAGAGAGAAAGAGAGAGAGAGGAAACTGTGAGAGAAGCGAGCAGAATCACACGCGAGTGAGCGTGTACGAGCGAGAGAGGAGCACGAAGGGATGGAGGAGAACGAGAGACGGAGAGAGGCGGACAAGGAGAGAGAGAGAGAGAGAGAGAAAGAGAATGACACGACGAGACCGAGGGCATCGTAAGAGGAAGAGAGAGAGAGAGGGCCGAAGGGGGAAAGAGGGAGAGGGGTAATTACTCTGGCGACTAGTTACGGACCGGCGGCGACCCGACAGCCGCTCTCGCTCGACTCGCTCAACTCGCTCGACTCGACTCCGACTCACCTACACGCCTACCACTCGGTTTTACCCTCCTTTCCACCCTCCCTCCCTCCCTCCCTCCCTCCCTCTCCCCCCCAGTCCCCTCCCCCCCCCCCCGTCTCACCTTCTCGCCGCCCCGACCATCTTCTCTTCGACCTCCTACTTCTCTTCCTTTTCTTCGTCTTCCTTTCTACTTCTTGGTCCTCGTCTCTTCCTCCTCTTCTGCCTCGCCGTGCGCGCACGGTTCATCCGAGTTCACTCCTCGATCGCCGAACCCGAAAGCACCAACACCAGAGAAACCGAACGTCGTATCCTCCGCGAGAGTATCCTCGCCGCGGAGAGCAGGCCGGTCGGATGAGCAGCACGGTCGTCTCCGCGTGGTCTCAATCGAGTCCCTTCCCCCCCCCCCCTTTCCTCACCCCCGCGTACGTCGGCCACGTACAAAGTTTGATGTTTTCCTACGCGTGTTTGTTATCGGCTCGATTTTCCGGGCGTCGTAACTTTGAACACGCTCGCTCCGTGGCGCCGCAATTTTTCGAACAGTAAATAAATCAACGATCAAATAATCACAAAGCTAATCTCCAGAGAGATTAAGTCTCTCGACGGCGATTAAAACTTCGAGTTTGAAGAATTTATGAAGAGATAAGAACACTCCTCGGGAGTGTTAATGAAATTCTCATATTTGTAGTAATTGTTCGCGCGGTCTTGAATCGCTTCATATCGCGGGAAAGACGATAAATCTTTCGTAACGCGTGTATAACGAATAATCGCGGATCAAACGACTAGAGGCTATTTTTTTTCAACCATTCAACGACCTCTCACGCGGCACGATGAACCGGAGGGGTCTCGTTTGCGAGGTTAATCGGTGCGTGGCCGTCGGTTTAACCGTCGGGACAGGCCGTACAGGAAAATATAATTGACTCCGGTAGCAGCGTTTATTTTGCATAGCAGCTTTCGCATGCGACGAAGCGGTGATGCCGCTGCCACTTGGCGAATATGGGCGTGCGAGGCGAATTCGACCTTCGCGGGTAACATTTCTACAGAATTTTCCCCCGAACAAGTGTGCTCGCGAGCGTTCGAGGGATAACAAAACGCGTCCGGAGATTGCGAGAAACTCGAATTCATCTCTAAATGGAGAACCTCCGTTTTTTTTTCAGGAACACCGGTGCGAGAACAATGAGCCAGAGGTTCGAGCGAGTCCGGGATTAGAGAACTCGCTGCGAAGAGCTGCGTCAGCACGGGAGACTGGACCGGGTTAACGGAGCAGGTACGCCAATACAACGCTAAACGACCAGCACGAAGAGAGAACGAAGACGGGTTGCGCGCTCGGCCGAGTCCGTGCAGCATCCCGAGTCCGTGGCCGCACTCCGATATTGTAGACACATGGCGAGGCATATGTAGTATCCTACGTTTGTACGGATAGGCGTGTATTGTACGCGCGTTCGTGTGTAACCGAGGCAGACAAGACATGCACACGCGCCTACGAAGGAAACCTCGGCGCGGCTACGAGCGAGCGAGATCACCGCGCAACCTCCCGCGGCGCTGGCAACCTGTTTTCTCTCTTCCAGCTGAGTTTATTTTGATTTATTGTGTCGCCGCTAAAGAGATGTATTGTTATGACGTACCCCCGCGGAACCCGCTCGTGAGAGAAGATTTCTCGAAGGTGGGTGAGAAGATAGCTGATAGAGAAATTGAAAAATCGAGGGCATTTCCGACGTCCGCAGTGAAATTGGACAACGTCGAAAATTTTGATACGAACACGAGGTCTGAAATTAATTTTATTCAAGTCCGGGGACTGATATTCGTATTATTTTAAGTGAATTTATTTAATAAATTTTTCAATTCATGTCCACAACTCTTTAATGAAGAGAAAAAATGTATCGATATAAAAACAATTTCTCAAATATCAATCGTGTGTATCTGTCAATTTTACATTCTCGGAAGTACTTCGCGGAAATTACCTGATCGCCCTCAGTGTAAGTCGACGTGCAAATTACAAAATACATATTTCAAATTACGTTATTTTATTATTAATTATTAAAACTCTAGACATAAAAACTCTTTTACTCATTCCAGAGAATCTCCGTTCCGTTTCCTCGCACGTTCCCGATTTCTAATTTCGAAATGTCAGTCTTTTATGCCTCGAAAATTTTTACTTCCCTCGAGGATGCGCTAAATATATACTGTGCTCGCTTCCCGATAGTTATAATACTTCCCCGATTGTATTTCTTCCCCGAGACCGAGCGTCGTATTCCGTTAAGAATAACTACCATATTAATTACAGTCTTTCCCCACGGTTCGGAGATAAAACGTGCGAGAATCGATACGGCCGACTATTATCTATAGCGATCCTCGTGGGGTCGCCACGGCACAACGTGGTGGATCTTAAAATAGGTGATTTCTATGCGAAGCGAGGTAAGTACGTAAGCAGGTAGTCGAAGGTAACGCGATAACGTTCGAGATCAGTTAACCCCGAAGATGCATGGTCCCGCCAGGCGAGAAACCGTTTCCCCGGGAGAGAGTCTCGAGTGTCTCTCCTCGTCCTATTCGTCAGATGTGAAAGAATAACATTTTACTGGTTGTCAGCTCGACCTGGTTGGAAAGGTGACAGCTTTATCGCTGTCGCAAAGAAAAGACACTTTAGGTAAATAGAAAAAAAAAAAAACTTACGATCGATCGCCTTTTACGTGTTAAATACCGTTCGTTCAAATAGACGCGAAAGAAGTTCTTTTAAAGAACGCGTACAAGTTCTGTTCATGTGAAAAAACACGAAAATTCGATTAAAAAATCAACGAAGTATGATAATGCATGATTAACAAGCGTTCTGCTAATCGGATTAAGCTTTACACATTTAAATAGTGCATTCATAAACTTAACAATTATTAAATGAGCGCAAAACAAGTATCTTTAGTTTTATTCATCCTCTTATAAGAAGAAAATTTATTGATGCGATTAACACCTCCGCGATGTCCACGACATAAATGTATAGCTTAATCGGTTATCGCGTCCGCTTTGAACCGCGAGAGGGATTTTTCTCACGGTTCGGCGGTATTTTGATTTGATACCGTGCAAATCTGGGCCATAGTCGGTGGAGCGCCCTGGCGATGCGTGTATTATGCAAATCGCCTCGAGGGGGATGAAGCAGGGACCGCCGCGGCCCACCCTCGTCACGTACCGGCCATTACCGGCGCGGGGATCCTACGAGAGAATCGCGGTCGGCCGCGCCCCGGATGAAGCCGGGATCGTTTGGATATTGACTTTCCCCGATGCGTCACGGATGACAAAAGATCCGGCGGGTCTATATTCGTTTACGACACTGGCAGATGCCGATAGGAACCGGAGCCAGACGAATCGGCTCGTTTACGCGGTAATGCTGATCCCGGGAAGGCACGACGGAGATTGAATGTTAGCGCCCGACTAACTCGGTGAACGTCCTCGTTAGAGAAGCGTATAGGCCGTTAGGACCATACGCTTCTTCGTCACTGTCCGTGCGATTCAACTTCAATTTTCTGACGCTCTTCAAATTCCGATGATGTATACGAGGGCGAGTCGACGAGTGAAGGAATAAAAATTATCGAGACGGTGATAGATATTGGCTATAGAATATGTTTCGAGCGTATTACTGGAGTAAGAAAGGGCGCAGCCTTCTCCAAAGGAGAAACGCAAGACAGAAAAAAAGAGCACGGAGCGTGTTGATATATTTACGAATCGATACATTCGTTATAAAAGAAATATGTGGAATCAAAATCGTTTAACAGTAATAATGGAGAGGAAAAATTTAATCTGCTCAAATGCACGAATTAAGCTTTCGTCAGAAATTTTACGAAAGCCTGCTTACATTCAAGTGACGCATGCTTCTGACATGTGATTCGCTTACGTTAATTGACGCAATCGATTCGCGCTCCTTTCGATATAATTTCGTTCTTATCTCACGAGAAATGCAAGATTTTACATGCGTTGTGAGTGACTAAACTTTTGGCGTCGCGCAATTCAGCAGCGTATCTTTCGTCAGCGAAATTTTAAGGAAGCCTTCCTACAGCTGATGCAACCGGTATTCTCTTTCCTCTTATGATTCGGCGTTATCTCTCGAGATAGCGAAGGTGCGCGGTGCTTCTCGTCGATGACGTTAGCTGTTTTCTAGGGACGCGTTATCAAAGTCCTCACCGGCACCTTCCACATGTGACGATCGAGGACACCGATTGTAACGCGCACATCGCCCCTTGGCCTCGGCTACCGAGTACCTCGAAACGTCCACGAACTCGAAGCCAAGCGAGCAACGACGAAAGCGATATCACGGCGATAAACCTCGCGTGGTGTAGCGCTGATACCTCGGCGGATCAAAATAACGCATTCTAGCGCGATGCGATCAACGAGAAATAAACCGAATGCCCGCGCGAGCGATATTTTATTTCAAACCTTTAAACCTTTAAATGTTATTTTATATTTTTTTTAGAAAACACACTTTTTAAAAACGAGTTAAATTTTTATTATTTTAAAAAGTACAGCTTTACCGCATTCAGCAGTATAAGTGTACACTGAGAGAACATCTCCTCAGAAAATACGCTTTTTTCTTCGTTCGCTATCTCGATATAAGTGCCAAAAAGGATGTTAAATAAGTTCGATCTGCATCCTAGCCTGAAACGGATCCTGAAAAATCACCTAAAGTCACGAATCTATTTGTTTCTACGCGCGCGATACGCAGACACGTGTTCAAGAGATGCCGGTGCATCTTTGATTCCTCTCTTCTCCTTCGCTTTTGACGAATAACCCTCTTCATCTCGAATCGCCGAAGACTTTTCGGTGGGATGCGCTTATCGTCGAAGCGTGGCGCGAACGTGACCCAAGTGAGGGCCCGCGAGATAAGCCGAGCGGGTAATGGCTTTCGGTCGTGACACTCGCGCCACGTCCGGATTTCTAGATGAGATCCCGGAAGCTGGACTCGCCGGCGTTACCTCTCGCCGATGACTAGCGCGACACGATGTCCCCGTCTGGTACTTTCCCGTTTGTACACTTTCGGCGAGAAAAGTCACCGGGGCTAATGTTTGTCCGCGGCACACAGCGTCCCTCGTCGGCCCATATGTCAGAGCGTAACGTGGTTAGATCTGCCGAGTGTCAATGTAACTCACGAAACCCGTGCCTTCGTGCGCCAAGCGCTGAACACAAGCACGTTATTTTCAATAACGGTGAGTGGAACTTTATTAAATCATTTCGACTTCCGCTGGAAAAATATTTATACTTTTAGATTTTGGGAGCATTCAATGACGTTAAAGTTCAACAATCAGATTTCACAAAACTCATTTCAAACTTGGCGTTCGCGAATTTTAGAATTTACGATGTGACGCATATAAGTTACCAGAAATGCAAATTCTCCTCTTCTTGTGTAAACGACAGTTAATGTCGTTATTAATGTCATAATTCTGCAATAAATTCCCGGGCGTAATGGCTGATACAGTTATACTAATGATTGTCCGCTTGCAAATAGCTCTATTGACCGTGGCAGTCGCCCACGTATTAATTCCGAACACGGATCATCCGTTAGGAAAACTCACGATGATTGGACGTCAGCTGGTGCCTTTCCGAACGCAAAGACTATTGCACTCGTACTTCCCAGGCAAACAGCCTTACGAGCTGACGGCTAATGCGACCTTATCATGCGTATGTAATGAAACCATTAGCAAGCTTACGTCAGCCCACGTGTTCCTTTACGTTGAATTAGAAATTCACCGCTTCTTACACGTTGTTGCACGTCTACCTCGGCATCGCCCCTCGAGGCTGAAAGAGGGTGGGCAGGCCACAGCGGGGGGGCAGGGAAGGGGGGGGGGGGAGGGGAAGTACAACTACGTCGATAATGCACTTATAAGCGCTGGCCTTCCCGGCAATCTTTCCCACGTGAGCTCATTACACTCCGACTTCGGTTTTTTAACGTCACTTACCTTGATATCCTCAGAAATCTAACAAATATTACGAGGAACGATAGCTCGTCCATAATCGCGGCAACAACTTGGACGAAGTACCGTAAACGCGCTTCTATGAGTTTTTTAAGAATTAAGAAAAATTTCTGCAAAAATATTGTATAATATATAATACATAATGAATTATATTCTCCCGCAATCACAGTTGTAAAGTTTGAGCAAGCTATTGTTATAGCAAACGTGTTTCTAAGAATTTTCAAGCTCCTAAAAATTATTGAAAAATTTCACGAAAATATTACGTCGCGTGAGAAAGATTTAAAAACTTCAGAACATGAATATGTGAAGCGCGACGTGGAGACCGATCGAAAAAGTTCACACATCCGACGATTAATTGCCGTGTGATCGTGCGTGCGTTAATTGATTGGCGATTGATCGCACGTGCCATGTACGATCGATTAACGCGCGCGATCTGTTTAGAATCGCGACGGCTCGGCCCATATCCGCGCAAAGTTACAGCCGGTTTTCGCTGGGGATCGTGACGCAAAAACTCGTTGATTGGAATCTCGGTGGACATCTCGCAGGACACACACGGCCGACGGGACTACCTGGAACCCGTCATGGAAGCGGTTTTCTTTGAGGTTTCCTACACGCCGTCCCGCGCTGACAACACCCGAAACGCTTTGATTCCGGCCGAACGAACGGCGCCGCGGCCTTGCCAATAAATTATGGAATATTTATTGGCCAGCGATTCCCCTTATGATCGAAATCGCCGGCCAGCGCAACGTCCGGACCGCATTGCGACAGCGGCTGTGATTTGCGATATCGCCGCGTATTTCCGAATCTGATAGGCTCCTAATAAAGCAAATTCGGGAACCCGAGAACCCGGAAATCGAGATGATAAAATTACGCCGAATTCATTATCATGTATTGACAGTTGCTCCTGTCTTCCCGCTCTTCCACGTCCCAGCTTTATGCATTAAGTATGCAAGAGCTCTTGCATACTTAACATTTATTAATCTTCATAATAATTACGATAAAAAACATCGATAATAAAAATGGTCCATTTTTTTAATAACCGAAAATTTAAAACGGTTTCCTTTATCCA